TGTTAACACATGCATTCTAAATATTTGGACGCTAATCACTCATATCTATCTTTTTGCTGATGTTGTAGTGAAACATTAATTGAAACTGATCTATGAGTAGTACCGAAATAGTTTGATAGTGAATCCTTATCCGTTTACTTTTCCTATTTTACTGTATCTGTTTTATCATTACGACGACCGAATGGCGTAGTGGTTTGTGTAACGGACTGCTATTCCAAAGGTCGCGGGTTCGATTCCCGCTCAGGTCAAACATTTGTGTGCATGAACATTTAATGTTTGATTTGGTCTGGGTGTTTCTATGTATAATAAGTATGTATTTACAAAAAAAAAGTATTTATATCAGTTGTCTAGTACCCATAGTACAAGCTCTGCTTAGTTTGGGACTAGATGGCGTTGTGTGAATGTGGTACAATATATATTATAATATTATTAAATACTTGAAATGTATATGAATTTAAATTTGTCTACGACACAAACAGTTTTACACTATGTATAATTAGTATATCTATACAAATAAACAAAAATGCAGTGTCTGTTTGTAATGTCAAAATAATAAGGTGTTTTATACGGTTATTTGCACGATACCTATGCCTAAAAACCAGTTTAAATATTTCTCTCTGTCTGCCTATCTGTCTGTTTATTTGTGCCGGGTAATCTTCAAAACGGCTGGACCTGGATAATATTTCACTACCAGGTAGCTATCCATATAAAGGGTAACTTTGGCTATTTTTCTCTCAGAAAAACCCTAAAAAAAATTTCCCTGTCCGTGAATCGAACCCAAAGCCTTAATAACATTTTCAATTCAAATTCGACGCGCAGAAAGTTGCGGGTACCAGCTAGTTAAAAAATAAATTAAGCGCTGATTACATCAAGATAAAATCAAATAGAGTTTTGTATTTCAATCGCTCTTTGAGATCAACATGATACGTCAAGGTTGGTCAACCATCGTAACTGTATTCTGTATTGATCTGCTTCCTGTACTCTCTGATTACATAAAATAAAAGAAAAATATCATCAACTCTGTATTATATTTCATTATTTTTAGGCAATCTATTTATAATAATTCTATTGCACGCATTTTCTACCAAACTATAGGTACTTTTAAAACTTACTAAACGTTTATTATACTGTCTAACACTAAGAAAATTTAAGAATCCGAAGATACTCGTATCACTTCAGGGAGCAACTCTAGGAATAAAAGTTTTATTAATTTTAAATGTGCTTATTAGCGCTTTTGTTGATACTTGACAAGACATCTTTAATGCAATTTTTTATTCGTAATCGGTTACAATTAAATCACACTCAATATATAATGTTGTAACTAAAAATTGGTAATTTTACTATCAAGCTACAACAAATATTATACAAGTTAAACCGCGTTAAAACCAATCGAAAAAGAGTATGTAATGAAACTCAGCACGAATTGAATGAACCTTGTCTAATTATAATCCGAAATTTAAATCGTTGTCAGTAGCTAAAAAGAAAGCAAGTAAAGTAAACTAATTCGAAAGAACTCAATTCCATGAATCGGAACCGTCGTCGGCGGTTCTACGCATTATAATTGTTTTCTACTTTGGGTGCAGCTCAAAATGCGTATACCTAGTTGGTAAGAAAAAACAAAATATATTTCTCAATCTCTGTTATATTATTATCATTTCTAGAAAGTAGATAGCATAGTATAAAAAATATTCTAATTGATTTTATTGTCCTAAGAAACCGGTAGCTTCATTTCATCTGTTGAAGTATAACTTTAAATAACTCGACGTACCTACTTGGTGCCTACAGGTGCATTTATTGTTCAGTATTTTACTCTACCTCTAATATATAAAAGCTGTACATAATAGTTATGGTTAGCGATGGTCAGTACATAATACAGTACATGACCTCGTATGATTATTTTATGATTGGTTAATGAAATGATCGAATGAGTTCCAAAAAAGATCAAATTTGAAGGTCATTAGGTAATCCTAAACCTTAATATGCTATAAGAATAAAAAAATATATTTATCAAACTCAATATATTTAAACTTTCTATTTCTTTGACTGACGTTTCGACAAGGTTGCACTATCGGTGGACAGCGGAACCAGGTCGAAAAGTCAGGTAATTGAAAGGTATGTAATACCCTTTGTATTTGCCTCGTTGTAATACTTCGAAATCAAATTTTCGGTGCCTTCTGGGGACAGCAAGAAGATTATCCTATCTATCCACTCTAATGCTGTGGGGTATGATGGCATTAGTTGAAGCATACCATCCTGAACTATATTCTCTTGGTAACTACTCACATAATTAACTTTTCTCCGACTTAGGCGCCTTTCTGTCTCTTTGGCGTGGGGCTTACGTCAACCCTCTCCCCAAAATAAATAACCTTTCACTACCCACACATTTACGACCTATTTCCATTCTTCCTTTCCTCTCTAAAGTGCTTGAGGCCTGTGTATACAATAAGTTTTCAGTATTTATATACCGACAAAAACTGTTATATCCCCTACAGTCCGGGTTTAGGCTAGGTCATAGCACTACTACCGCCCTCCTCAAAGTGACCGCACCGATAGGATATTAGAAAGGGCATGGAAGACACCAAAGTTACAGTTCTGGTCTTAGTTGATTTCTGTAACGCCTTTTATACCGTCAGTTATGAAATCCTACTATCAATCCTTACATACCTTAAGATCCCCCAGAGGCACTGGAATGGTTCTCCGCCTATCTTCAGGAGCGCCAGCAATGTATTCGCGTTCAAAACGTGTCATCGAGTTGGTGTGATCTCCACACTGGGGTCCCTCAAGGCGGAATTTTATCTCCTCTTTAGTTCTCTATCTTGATCAGCCTCAACACCTTCAGTGTGCGTATAACCTATATGCCGCTTATATGATCTGCAACTATACTCACAAGCAAGGGTGGAGGACATAACGCGAGTCAGCGACGACATCAACAGGGACCTTGATTTTATAAAATCCTAGTCGATGAGAAACAGCAAAAATATGATTAGCAGATTGGATACTGCATCAGTCCCACCGGTCATCTTCAACGGCTCAGTTATACCTTGGAGCCCGGTAGTCAAAGACTGAACCCTAGATTGATGATGATTGATGAGGCTATTGGTAAATTGGCGTGATGGAGATGATGCATATTATCTACGAATACTTTCAAAAAGTTTTCAATCACCAGATTCAGTAGATATCATCAACAGCCTTTAATAGTCCACTGCTGGACATAGGCCTCTCCTTAGAAAGAAGATTTTGGCCTACTATACCACGCTGGCCAGACGGGTTGGTATAGGGATTGTATCAAGTTTTCATTCTTTTTGCAGTGCTGGTGTCCTGCCTTGTTTTGCGCCCTTAGTGGCCTCTTACGACATCCACGGGATGAATTGGGGTAGTGACATTTCGTATTCTTAATCCTTAATTCTTAATCCGATATAAACGCCGGCAATACATATTTAAACTGACCAAATGTTTGTTTCATCTGCAAATATTGGTTTCGGACTTTGGGTGTTTTCTACGTATAATACTTGTATGTATGTGCTAAAGAAAAAAAATGGTATAAGTTTAGTATTCTGTCAGTCAATCCAACTTTCATAATATAAGCTGTGCTTAGTTTAAAACTACATGGCATTGACATTGTGTGTAAGTTGTCCAAAAATATTTTTATATTTGAATACATAACCTAGGCAAAACCGACCTCACCCGTTACGCGAATCATCATTTAATCTGTTAGTCGAAATTAATCTTTTAAATAATTAATAATAATGATGAAACTATCTGCACGAGACGGAAAAATCGTAATGTAACACTAATATGATGGAACAGACGGCAACCGAACAACAATAAGAACAAAAACAAAACTGTAACAATTCTCAAAACGGTGCAACACGATAATCGAAATCCTAAATGATTAATATCTATATTTTATAACATAGCAGTGTTTGGACATAATAATGTCATTGTTCTTTCTGTCAAAATTATAAGTTGTAAATCACGAACCGAACCTATTTAATAACAAACAATTCGTTATGTTTATCACGCGTTATATCACTTATTACTTCAGTTACGTGGAAGGTGCTGGAGTGGTGTAGTGTCTGTATTAATTTGGAAGTTCCGGAAATGGTTGCAGGTATAAATAAATACGTATATAAGTCAGTTTATCTTTAGGTAATACGTTATTTACATTAATGGTTCAACTCTTACCTACTGGGATTAAACACCCCGTAGAGAAACAAATCTAAGGGCAGCCGGAACATATATATATATATGTATGATATGTGTCTATTTCTTTATTTACTTTATCTATTCATTTGTTCAATAATCAATTTCGGTCATGCAAATATTTTAAATAAATATTTGTAAGAGATCGCTCTTATCGCTAAGGCCGCTTAATGTACATTTGTAATTATTTACTATTTAAACAATATGTTTTTTGGTATAATTAGGATAGTACTTTTTTTTTAAAGACGGATCCCGCATTAGGAATACGTATATCCTGTGTCGCGGGGGACTTTACAAACATACATGAAACAGACACAAAGAACACCCAGACTCAGAATAACAATTTGTGGATCACACAAAGTGTCGTCCCATGTGGGAATCGGACCCACAACACTCGGCGCAGTAGTAAGCGGCGTGACGACCGCTTAAAGCACTACGCCATCTGTGCAGTTTAATTCCATTTCATTTGCCATCGTATTGTAAGGTATTTTATTTGAAAAGTAGATATTAGAAAAGACAAGAAAGCGATTTCACTCATGTTTTGTTATCAAATCTTAAAACTATTCCATAAAAATGGTACCTTAAAAAAACATCGCAGAATTTACTGTCAAACTACATACTGCTGATCAAATGAACACTAATAAAAAACTGGTTGGAGCTACACTATGAAAAAGTTCATGAAAAACAAAGAATTTTATAGAGAATCCTATTTCTTCAGCTAACAGCTAGAGACAAGAGAAAGAAAAGACCATGCACAATAAAAGCTCCCATTCATGCATATGTTTATTATGTTTCAGACCGTAACGGGGCAAAGGGCATTACATTATGGCTGGCAATGCTCGGTATAGCGAGTACGCAGACTATTCCAGCCGATATTGACACACCACCATTCAACACGCTGTATAAATGGAAGGAGGTAGATTTTGACTTCCCTTCTCCAAGACTCCGTAAAATGGCTCTTGCGTCTCGGTAAGTTGTGATACTAATTATATCAGATTACGTTATTTCTGGTGCGGCTTTTTATATAAAAAAATAACTATCTTAAAATGTGTTGCATTCATTTCTTTAAATGAAAAGTAACATTAGAGACCAGCTGAAAGGAATAAATTTTCTCGCTTTCTGCAACTATTCTACTATTGATAGCCTATGGACTTCCTCGGTAAATGGGATATCCAACACAAAAATATTTTTTCAATTCAAATAAATAGTTTCTTAGATTAGCAAACAAGCTCTTCAGCTTTAAAATATTAGCATAGGCAATAGACTTCTGTACAAACCTACATTTATCATTTCGATATGTGATATGATACCATGAATCTTCTCTGAACCTTTATGAAATTTTATCTTGCGTATTTTTAAATAATAATCGTTATTGCTGTTAGTGTGTTACTGTTTTTTAGGAAAATACACATGTGACGTACTTTCTAAACAAAATTGTCATCGTTGTTAGGTAACTTTATATAAAGAAACCAGTTAATAGTATTGATAGATTGTAGCGTTCATTTATCAGGAGCCTTTGGAAAACTTAACTAAGAAGTTATCAAATACAGGAATAGGTCACACGTTATTTGCTATTCTGGAAGATTTAAAACGATGGTTTCGCCAAATGCCATTAAACCTTTTAAGCCTTATTTCATACATAAACGTGTATTAAAATGTAACGCACACAAGCATAATAATATAAATTTATTTAATTAAACGGATATACAAATGATTTGTAAGGTACATAATCGTATACGAGTACAACTATGTTGGCTGATGTTTTATTTCTTACAGAAGTTATGATATCTTAACCTGCAAATTATCACAAAGTAGGAAAATAAATTATTCATCTCAGACCATAAAATTGCCGTACCTTTCATATATCCTTACGTAATATGAAATTCAAATGCTGTAACTTAATCTTTATTTAGCCGAAGCTAAGTTATAACAATAATAACGTTACTAACGAGTTATATAACATCCTTTAATTGTTTCTCACGTTGCAAAGGTGAGTAATTTAGAGCATACAGAAAAGCGAATCATTACTGAAGACTGTTCATCGAATCGTATTATTCATAGCTTCGAATTATTAACTAAGTCACTGACTGTCGTGATTGGTTCTCTCAAAAGTGAAATGGATCTTTAATATAAAGATCACTTTTTTATTTACGTCTGCGTATTACTTGTACGTTTTCAATTCTTGGTTCGCGACTCCTTTTTTTTCAAAATTTTGAAAACTTCAACAATGTCTAGTTTTTACTAGAAGAAATTGACGCGTAAACGTGTTTGAACGATAGTGTCTAAAGACATATTTAGAAAGGAATGAACAAATAACTCTCTTTGTTACAATTATATATTCTCGTACCAGCACTTATTGTAGAATTACATAAACCAGTCTTTTGATTCCATCTATATATTTGTTACTCAGCACCAGACCTAATTTGCCCTGGTACCCATACCACAAGTTAAATCTTAGTTTGGGTACCAGAGTACAAAATTATTGTACATTATTGTTATAACTCATGTGTGTTTTCTCTGTATTTATCTTTTGGAGACAACAAATTATATTATAAATATATATATAATGGCTAATTAACGCATTAGTAAGTTTTCAATGGTTCTAGCGTAGTGTGTCTTTCGCTGGAGATCTCATCTTTAATACGACTGACCTTAAAACTATTTATTTATAATGTTACAGAAAGTATGTCCCGGCCAACGTTCTACCATTGGGTCTAGAAGTATGGGGCTCCCGCGTATGGGTTACTATCCCATCATGGAGACACGGCGTCCCTGCTACTTTAGCGACAGTCTCTCGTGCTGGAGGGGAGACATCACCTTTACTAAAACCGTACCCAGATTGGTCATTCCATAGACTATTTAGTAAGTTTTATTTTTCAGTAGAACCGCTTCTATTTAGTTAGTTGATTAAAAGATTACAGTCAATGCATTTAAGCAAATTCAAAAATTGTTTGATTTAGTTCTAAAGACTTTACAATGAAATAGTGAGAAACCACATCGAACAAATATCGACTTCACCAATTTATATTTATAATGTGTAGTTTATTCCTTGGAATGCACTGTTTTAGAAATACGTTTATCTTACGATAAGAGAATATTCTTTGTTATTTGCCAAATCATTAAACTTTTATCTGTAAATTAAAAAACTATTTAGAAAGGGGGTGTTATTAAGATCAAATGCATGAAGGTTAACCTAAGCTATATGAGATCGTTGTTGGGTAACTTTTAAAATAAAAAATGAAAAAATAATATGACTATTTATTTTCAGGTAATTCGAAAAACTGTTCTGGATTAACATCTGTTTTTCGGCTAAGTGCGGACACTTGCGGAAGACTTTGGGTTTTAGACTCAGGACAAATAGACTCTCAAGATGATCCTAAGCAGCTATGTCCACCGAGCATAGTTGTATTTGATCTTACCACGGATAAACTGATCGCACGATATCCGATCCCAGACAAATATGTCCTAGAAAGTTCATTATTTGCTAACTTGATAATAGACACAAGAACGAAATATTGTTCTGATCTCCATATTTACATTGCGGATACATGGCGTTTTGGTCTACTCGTATTTCGAGAACGTGACCAACGATTTTGGAGATTTTCTCATCCTTATTTCTACCCAGATCCATTAGCTTCTAATTTCACTCTCCATGGATTCAATTTTCAATGGACAGATGGTATTTTTGGGTTAGCTCTGACGCCGCTTGACGCTTTTAGAGAACGGATTTTAATATTTCACCCTATGTCTAGTTACAGAGAATTTTACGTCTCAACGAAAGTATTGCGCGATCCATCACTTGTCAACAGTAGCGCAATAGAATTTAATTTACTCGGGGAGAGCCGAGGATTGCTCGGTCAATCTTCGGCTTCTGCTATGGATAGACGCGGTATAATGTATTACGGGTTAGTGACCCAGGATAGTATTGGATGTTGGAATATAAACGAACCGTATCAAAAGCATAAATTAGGAGTAGTTGCACAAAACTCAGAGACGTTAATATTTCCAAATGATATAAAAGTGGACCAAGAAGTTAAACAAAATGTTTGGGTGATATCTAATCGACTGCCAATATACCAGGCAGGACCATTGGACTCGAACGATTACAACTATCGCATAATGTATGCAGATATAGAGGAAGCAGTACGAGGATCTGTTTGTGACCCTAATGCAGATTTATCAGATTGAAAATGGTTGCCATAATTCACTATATATACTTGTTACATATAAGTTAATTTAATGTATAAACTTTAATAAATACGCCAGTCTTAGTACATAGAATTGTTTTTCTTTATGAGGTGCTTTCACATCATATTTTTATTTATTTATTCTTTACGCAAATATAAACGTCACAAACGAGGGCCTTAGGACTTAATACCGTGGGTCTTAGGACTTAACTCCGTGGGCCTTGGTGGTGTCGCTTCTTGCTATCAGAAAAAAAAGTATATATTTATTTCCCAAATAATTTCCAACTTCTAAATATGATGTAGAGAAGATAATCCCAGAAACTATTTTTACATACAGTTTCTAATATACTACATGAAAAATGTTTGCGAAAATTAAGCATACTAAATTACACAATTCTCAAGTATTTTGATACATAAACTTTGGTACAGTGAACGTCCTATGGTTGTAATGACGATGATATTATAAATATGCATATATTTATATATATACATTTATTACATATCTGATATTCTGAAGCAGTAACTCTAGTTTTAAGTCAATTTTGCTAAGAGCTTATTCTATGTCTGATGGGATTCACTATGTATGTCTGATAAACCGAATGAATTGTACACTTAGACAGTTAACAGTTAATATAATTTGTAATCGTCTTAATCAACTAAGAATTGAGTGTGTGAAATGCACAAAATATCATGAACCTCTGTATAAAAATTACCACTATCAACGTGGATGTGAAATAGATATTATTGTTTTTCTATAGGCGCTAGCGTACTTTTGCTGGGTCTATGGCCTGTTCACCGCCTGAATCTCGACTCTTCAAATAATGTATACGATTCACCTTTTATTTTAATACATTAACAGCATCAATTTACAATCACCAACCTACATACAAATTATATTTTCAAACGATATCCTTATTTTGCTAAAAAGGTTTGAAATGTCATAAAGTTTGAATAAAATTTGGGATTTTTTCTTTGTTTTTTTACTTTTGTTTTTATTTTTTTAAATAACCGAAAAGTTTTATATATTTAAATGATTATTCGTGTCGTGTGGTGATGGGTTAAGAATACAGCCCTGTGCATCCCACAGGTGACGCAAAAGCCGACTAAGGGAGCAAACTGCGCAGGACAACAGCACTTCAAAGAGAATGAAAACTTGACAAAACCCATACCAACCCATCAGGCCGCGTTGTATAGTAACCAGCAGTGGACTTTTAAAGACTTGTTGATGATGACAATGAGTCTGATATAAACTATTTGTAAATTACTAAAGTCACCTTTCAGGCTCTATGTTTCTATACTTTTAATAGGCTAAGTAACTTAATGTACCGATCTGTGATTGTTAATTTTTTATTGTAATTTCGAAGTTTTGTTATAATTATACTATCGTGAGATATATGGTGGCGGTCCCACTCGTCTCTTAGATCTTGACACTTCACTTAAAGGACACTTAAAGGTTCTCAAATTTGTTCAAAGTCCGAAATTATCTTGACACTTGATTTTTGTATTATAAAAGATCAATAGCAAACACGGTACGGTCCACAGGATGGGAAGTATTTTCCCTGCCTATTATACACAATCTACTCCGGCGAGAAGGTCGGTCACCAATAGAAAACCGAGATTTTTATACGATGGAACCATTAACTGTCTAAATATTTTCAAATAGGTTGGAAGTTTCATGCAATTCTATAACACTCGTTAATTTCAGGTTATACGTAATGTGTAAACGATATATCGTCGTAATTTAATATGTATATAGATCACACCGTTTGAACCAAAATTTTGTAAATATTGATGAACAATCTTTCAAATTTTCATAATTTATATTTCAAATGTAAATATGTAAACAGGAATTATAGGTCACAGTCCACACACATAATTAATTTATCTAATTATTTTTTTTTGTAGCCTATGACACATGTCGTTAAAAACTATTCTGGGTCTGGTCTGGTCTAGACTGAGATTTTTTCCCCTATTGATTTAAGGAATAGAATTATGAAATTCAATGTAAAAATATAAGCTTAGTCAATGAAAGTGATTCTAACGGCTCTTATTATAATGAACCAGTGTTGTGCTTTCGCGCAACGTATACTGAGCTGGTAGCCCTTGCTACACATTTTGCCAAATGTATTATAAAATTAATTTTGTGTTTTAGTAATGTGCCTTGTATCCGTGTATGTTTTATGTTTCTTGTGTAGCAAAAATAAATGGTTTAAATGGTTTAAATGAAATTGAGCCCTCTCTAAAAGTAAAATAAGTTATAGTAGAAAAAATACATTATAAGGCAAAATGACCTCGATATTTCAAATGGTAAGTTGTAATAATTTTAATAGTGAAATTAATGATTCTGTAATCGGTAGCGGCATTGGGTCGTCAAATGGTCACGGTTAATAATATGAAAGATACCTCAACGGTAAAATCATTATCAATCCTCCGCTCATAAACAGAATGATGACAGATCGTTCGACAGTTTGTACAACCGATGCATCAAAAAAAATCCTAAAAACATAAACTCGATTGATTGGGTGGACTGGATAAAGATGAATTTAGTCAAACATTTTAAATGCTGTTAAAAACATATGTATATAAAGCCAATTGGACCGAGTGCTAATGTAGCCTCAGAGAATTAGCATTGCCAGTTAAGGTGTTGTCACGCAAATCGCGGCAATGCACTTGTTTCTCTTAAGTTGCAAGTGTCAATGGGCACGGCACTAGCTAACCATCAGGTGACCCGACTGCTAGTTTGCCTCTTATATCATAAAAAGGAAAAAGGAAATATTTCCAAATAATCGGGATTCGACTTCAATTTTTGAGGTCCCTTTGTGACAAAAAATTGTTTCATTCCACATGTAGTAGTAAATACATTTCAAGTGCTTTAAAACTGCACATCTGAAAGGGTAGGCAGAGGTGTAAGTACTAAGTAATGTTCTGCACACACTTATGTCTATGTATTTGATCCATAAATCATATGGTCTTTAGAGATTTTAAGGCATCGCATCGGTCTAACAAACTGTCAAGTTCAATTCGTTCGAGGAAAACTTTTCGAGCAAGCGCGATTAGACTTCGAGTGAAAGACCCATTTAATACATGTTTCTGTCAGATATTGTTATATTAATATGCTCAATGAAGAATAGGTTGCAAACAAATTGCCTTATACTATTTGATAGCAGGCAGTATTTTTCGTCTTTCAAATAAATAAAACTAGTACGTCAGAAATGTGTTTAGTGAGAGCTATTTAAACGGTAATAAATTATGATAATTAATATATATTTTACACGTTACTAATACCTCGCGTCTATGAAATAGTTACATATAAACTAGTCAGTATATATTGCATTAAGAAAAATTTACTTGTAGCTTGCTCAATCTTTAATTTTGCATAAAATTAACCAACTTACTACATCGGACATGACTGGCTGTGCTGATAATATAAAACAAACTAATAAATATTTAATTTTGTTCATAAATCTTTACTAAAGAATTCATTAATTAACTTACTATACAATCCGAAAGAATTTTTTTTAATTCTTACAAAGAATATTTGCAATTTCCGTATAAACGGAAATTGTATTTTTTTCTATTGCTTTAAATATGTTTATCAATCATTCACATCCCCACCCGTATGAATTTGGGTTTTATATAATATAATCAGTGTATTGTACATAATGTATATGTAACTGCGCGGTAGTGCTTTTAATTTATTATTAGACCATCGACAGGTCATCAACATAAGTGGATATATTATATTTCCAACTCCTCCATTTTTTTTTATTAATTGCGTTACGGGTTCCAAGACATTTAATTTTTTTCCTGGGACTTCCTCAGTGTCATAACTCAGTGTGTTCGTGGATTGCTGTTGATCCTGGTGTATGGGTGTTACAGTGGTGGGCGTGTGGGAGTGATTAGTCCTATAAAAAAAAGGTCATCAACATCATCAGCCTTTAGTAGGCCATTGCTGGACATAGGCCTCTCCTCAGAAAGCAGTTTTTGGTCTACTATACGACAGGTAACCAACACCAACAATAAGTAAGTATTGACCACACAGTAACCGTATTTGAATCTAGTATAAAGAAAAAAACCCCTAACCCTTGATCTGGCCTAATCAGAAATTTTCTATAAAAAACTAAACGGATGAATTATGGTCATCCGTGTGGTGACAGATTAAGAATACGAAGTGTCACCATCCCCATTCATCCTATGGGTGTCGTAAGTGCAGATTAAGGAATGTAAAGAAAAGGAAAACTTGAAACAAACCCTATACCATCCGGCCATCGTGGTATAGTAGGCCAAAAGCTTCTTTCTAAGGAGAGGCCTATGTCCAGCAGTGGATTACTGAAGACTGCTGATGATGATGATGATGAATGTACAAGGAAGTAATATATACATACATACTCACGTCTGTAGCCCTGTAGGAAAAGCCGTATTTACGTCATAAGGGTAAGCCTGTTGCTTTCCACCAGGCATTTGGGAATTAAGTGTGAAAACAGGGTGTATATTGAACAGACAGATGGGAGGAAAATTTTACAAATGTCCGTGCCCGTCTAACATTTAATTTATGTTTTTGTACATTTAAATTTCTCTTTAGATGACCGAGAAAATTACAAGAAATTGTAAATACTTATAATACAGCAGAATCCACAGACAACAGAATGCTATACGGGCCTGCCAGGCCACTTTGAATGAACTACTATGCATACATAACGGTTGGATTACTTCAAGCAAGGGATGGTAAAAGAATGGCATGTCTATAGAGACATACCATTCTTTTCTTGAAGCCATCAGGAGTCTTCGTTTTTTTTATTTATTTTGCTCATCGTGACAGGGGCAGTGTTGTACACCCAGATGTGGTTATTAGAATGAAAATCATTGAATATATAAGAAATATTTCTTCGCATGTTAGTATCGGAATTTCTTTGTTGTTATCTTACAAAATAAATAAGTAATAAATAAACTAGATGACCCAGAAAAAACCCAAGGGCGTGATAACATCAGTTGTTTTACATAAATCATGATATTGGGCTAAGAACTCATATATGGTTTTATTATTTCCTACATTACATAAGAGTGCCGAAGTTTCTCTTCTTTCTAAAAGGTCTTTAAAGTTATGCCAAAACGTCACAGCACATCTCATTTTATATCATAAGGAAATTATGTTTAAAACCATAATTCGCCTGATTAGGAATTCGAAATTTTAATTAAATTATATTTTCTTATATTATTTTCACCTAAAACTTTACTTACTTACACTTAATTTTACTTCTAAAATAAGTATATTTGTTTTTATATATACAAAAAAAATATAAGTACTAAGTAGTAGGCTCATAAAGTAATTTGATTAGTGGGTAACGTATTGTTAACGTTTTTTAATCGACACGAGTACACTGCCATTATTGTACGGCTAAACATAAACAGCGGCAGTAATTATGTGATGTATTTTACTCGTAGTTCTTACTAGGTTTCTTACATAACTCCTTCACTTGACGATTAATTATAAAATTACCAAATTGTTGTAGATCTACTAAATTTAAAGAATAGTTCTAAATTATAACTATATAAAATAGTATTTGTACGCATTACGTATTTTTAGGTAACTGAGTTCCAGCAAATGTATGATAAATAAAGTCGTTATATATAACTATGTAATATGTGGAAATTCAACCCGAAATACAGCAGGTATTGTTAATGAAAAAACGAGATTAGCTTTTACTTTGTTATTGGCTAAGAGTCCATTGCAATTCTCACCCATGAGATATATAACATAGCTGTTAAGTTTCCAAAAAAACAAATAATAAATCTATTTCTAAATCAGTATACAAAGTCTAAGAGTCTAAATATAGGCTCATAAACACTTAATATCACTGAAGAATGATAAAAACATATTTTCTCTTGTTTGTTTTGAAAAACGTTTCGTTACTTATCCTGTAATTAATCACAAGTACCAACATTTTTAGACAAAGGATTTAGTATGTATGTTCAACCAGCAAAACTCGTTCCAAGAATACCATTATCATAATAAGCTAATTGTATCACGAATAAAGCAAACCGAATGTAATATATGGAGACCCCCGCCTTTAATACTTGGGTCATTCGGTTTGTTAGCTCCAATTATTGCGTATAAGACCAGTTCAAAATTGTTGAAGCAAGAACTTCTATAATTTGTAAAAGTCTTCGCTATTTATACATAACCGCTCTAAACAACCGACGGAACGGACGTGTTTCATACGTTAATCAGAAGTGAGCAGAATATATGACACCATGTTAAATGTAAGTCAACATTTTCTTTACTAACAGCTTATAGAACAGCAACTTGATTTAAATGTAAGCTAGTTACATTTAAATCAAGTTTTAGCACGTAACTAAAATTCCTTGTTATAAAACTAAAAAAAATATTTTTACCAACAGCTATTTTATAGTAACTATATAATAAACCCGTTGGTACTTCGATTCTTGAATCGAAAATTGATTAAAGGTTAAAGTAAAGAGAAGATAAAAAATAGGTTCTACCCATAGGAACATTATACACATTATACATTATATATTTGTTCTTGGATTATACTGATGTTTTACCTTCTTTTGTGGAATATTTTCCTTATAGACTGCTTGCCTCCTAATGTACTCACAAAAATCTATAAGAGCCAAACTGACCGGTTTGCGGCAACAGGCCTGCCCCTATTACGCGAAAGGGATCTATCTACAGTTGGCAAAATGTGGCATTGTCTGCTACCACGTCGGAGATATCTATCTACATTTTAACGATATTAATTTTTTATTCAACTTTTTGCCTGTGAATTCAGGTTGACTAACTAAACTAAATAACTAACTCTCATATCATATCTCATAATTGACATATTGGAAGTTACAGAGATAAATAAAAAATGTGATTGCATTTAAGTAACATGTATTATAAATAAAAAAACCAAGGCGTCAGGACTGTCAAAGGTTTTAAAATGTCTGTTTAAAAACGAAGTTTAATATTTTTTAAACTCATCGTTTAAACAATCACAATCTGTTTTTTTTCATGCCGAAGTGTTTTATTGCTTAGACAGAGGCATGTATACAATTTTTAATTTATACATTGATATCGAATTAATACACATATGTTTTTAATCTGTGCTAATTTTAAAACGTCGGTGACCTCAACGATTGCTTGTGTGTACTTGACGGGTTTTAAGACTGAAGGGCAAGTTTGAAGACTTACCCAAAAAAAATAAATGTAAACTCTTTTCTTATCACGAGGAACTCTAGTTTTTAAATGTCTTGCCTCATATATTTATTATTGTGTATTACAAGACCAAGGTGACATTAAATTCGAATATTACCATAACTTTTTTCTAAGGTTTGCGCATTCTGGCTCTGCATTCTTTAGGGTATAATTCTTTTGTAAGTTCCTCCGTCGTATTTCTAAATTGACGGAATCAATATTTAATTTTGTAAAGCTTATGATGGCTCTTGTACATTACAATTAAGGATTGTAGTTCCGATGTAGAGGAGAGTTTAAAACTTCTTGGTACTAGACTTAACTATACTAGTATTGGAAATATCGCCAAAAATTCGGGACATTCACTACCCAAAGAATAAATATCATGATCAAAACCAGGCTCAAACTTCAAATTAGTTATTTTTTAAAATGAAGTGACTATGTTGGTCAATAAGCTATTAATACTAAAATTTATTCCTTCACTGGTAAGTGTAAGAATCAACTTTTACAACATAGTTTAGATTTAATTTTAACTTACTAACATAACATTAAGTATTGCAAAATTAGCACAGCAGTAGATTTCTTTTGACACTGATACGGCCCACGATATGGAGATAAATAAGGCTATATATAAGGCTATTACAAATTATTGAATAAATTATTCAAGTGTCTTTATCATATTTTGTAATAAAAAGCTCTATCTGAAAATTTAGCTTCAGGCTCTTTGGTACGCTAATAATAATCGTGTACGCATACTTCCAAATTCAAAAGGACCGAATTGACCTTAATAGTTTGAGTGAGATTTTCCTAGAGATCCTTTAAAAAAAACTTTTATTTCAATATTAATTAATTCAATATTAACCTATTTTGTGTTTGAAGTGATTTGATAACATATTGGGTAACTTCAGTGATTGCTCCAAAAATTACAAACAGTATTACGAATGCTAGTCAATAATAATATTCGATCCAACATCAATTCAATTCAAAATATTTGTGAACTCACACACCTAACCAATGTATGGGACAAATAATCGCCTGAAGTATTTCCGGACCGATACGACCTTCAAGAAAAGAGCGTACTCATTTTTTTTGTTACGTGTGGTAGTCCCCTCGGGCCGTCAGCCCACCGGGCTTTGCAGCAGGGTGGTGTATCAGAATCGGACCGACTGAAACCACACGGTATGCAACTCTGCGCCTGACATAAAAGGGATCCGGGAACTGCTGTTATTCACACATTCGGACCCTTCCTAGCGCCTGCCCGCTATAAAAGAGCATACTCTTACCGCAAAGGCCGATAACGCAAGTGTGACTCCCGAGTTGCAGGCGTTCATGGGCGGCGGTAGTCACTTTCCATCACGTGACCCCTTTGCGCGTTTGCTAAATATTGGTATATGTTTGCCATACATGCTATATGTGTAAAAAAAAACTCATTACTTACAAAAGATGTTACATTTTAAATAAATTATGAATATCTGAGTGGTATCTAAAGTAGTCTAAGGTCCGTGTGGTGACGGATTAAGAATACAAAGTGTCACCGCCCCTATTCATCCCGTGGGTGTCGTAAGAGCCGACTAAGGGAACAAACTACGCAGGACAACAGCACTGCAAAGAGAAGGAAAACTTGACACAAACCCTATACCAACCCGTCTGGCCAGCGTGGTATAGTAGGCCAAAACCTCCTTTCTAAGGAGAGGCCTATGTCCAGCAGTGGACTATCAAAGGCTGCTGATGTGTGATGTGATGATGTGATCTAAAGTAGAAAAGTATATATTACTACAAATATCTGCACTACGTCCAAGTTTATTTGATATAAGTGTACAAAGTAACTATAATATAATACTAATGAATAAATTTGTAACACTAATCAATAAATATATTAAATTAAATATTAATTTTATCAGCATAATCAGTTTAGACCTTTTTATTTTCTCACATTTATTCTTGTAATTAGAACTAAACTATTTAGTTTGGCCAATTTTTAAAGCTTTGACGGGAACCTGCGTATTGCCGCACTTATCGTTGTTGTGAAAGACAACAACAGAATACGACTTAATTGCCCTAAAAAAGGAGATAAATGAAAGTAATGAAATAAATAAAGAATGCATATCGGTTGGTTTTTGTTGTATTAGACGATCTCCTCATTTAAAAAAACATTCGTGTTGATATGCAAATTAGAAATGACAGGAAACTATACAAGGTAAATTTGAATTTGTGTAACTGCCTCAATACAGGTTATCCACTCCTGATATGGAAGTGACTTAGGGCTTTTATATAGGTTTTCGTTATCAGTTCAGTTCAGTTCAGTTGCATAAAATTTTAATTGTTAATGTAAACCTAGTTGAGGTACACGCTCAGAGTGTTTCATCAAAATTAGTGCAGCCGTTTAGGTAGCGTTCATGACATACATACCTCCAGAAGAAAATACATAACATACATATAGGTTTGCCTCAACATTGTGCCAAATATAACATAAAAATATAAACATTGCATAACTTAAGATTAGAAAACACTTTGTTTACTTCTTTTGCGCTGGAAAATATTAGTAATACTTAGCAATTTATTAAATTGCCACTTCGCGGAATGCGTTTCGGAAGACGGTGAAAGAAAATACGATGAAGGCGCTGAAAGCCATCCCGATTTCTTCGAAAACATTTCGAGAACATTTCGAATCAAAATTATCCCTTGTGTTTTATTCACAATTTCCTTGTACTACACACATACATCTTTTAATGCATACAGTAGTACATACATCTTTTAATGCATTTTAGAACAAAACTTACTCTATAAGTGCGATAGAAAATAGGGAACCCTAAGAGTGAAAGAGACGGTCATTTATAATCTGTACAGTGACTGAAGGCATTTTTTGAATTTTCTCTAATTAATCAGTACCTACGTGCTGGGTCCTATTAAGGATGGTCCTTATTAGGACCCTTTGTATATAATGTCATTGATAGTAATATTAGTACAGTTAATATTAGCTATGTTTAATGATGATTATAAATAATTTACAAAATATTATTATGTGACATTAAAGCGTAAAGTAGTTAAGTATGTCAAGGTAATGTTACATATTCAGGACATTTAGAAATATCATTAGCTTAGATAATATCTGAATAAGGAAATACGTAGGTATTACGTAAACCGATTTATTTAAAAAACTTATTTCACCAGGTATCCTTATCTAGATAAATAAATACAAACAGTCTTTGTTTTATCCCAAGCAAAGAAAAAAAAATATCATTAAGTAATAATAAATCTCTGAAATTATCGATTTGACTGTGAAGAAAAGTGTTAAACTAAATGTAGACTGTCACACATATTTCACACCATAAAGACTTATTTTATTACATCACCAATAAGATGATCAACAATAATCAGCCTGTGAGAAAATTTAAAGGATTACTATTTTATTAGATATTTCCACAGAACAGTCAATTTCTGTGGATATTGCCATCGATGCAAATTAGGTGAATTGTAATTCGAGAATTCGGCAAAGACAAGTTCACACTTAAATGCAGCTTTTGACTTGTAAAGCTCTTATAATATATTTCATTTACATATACATATACATTATCAGGAATCGAATGAACTTACCTTTTCGATACTTATTTTATACGGAGGGTATTGCTCATACATTCATTTAATCTTCTTTCTTTTAGGTCGATCTCTGTGAGTCCTTTATGAAATTCTCGAGAAAATGAAAAATAAATCAAATAATTAACCATTACCGATGTCTCAGTTACATGTGCCATTCATCAATTATAAGGCTATATCTTGTATTCTATTAGATTTATTTAATTGTATAATATAGTATTGAAGTCATCTCTGTTTTTTTTACAGAAATCACTCAGACTTAAGCAATTATATATATAGAAGCTCAAAAGTATTTACAACAAAGAATGTGGAGTGGAACTCGTAATATTGACTTGCTAAACAAGTTTCCTTACTTTTGTGCTGTAGGCACATAACTCTAGCGTATTTATTCTATGTCAATATTGTATTCTAATTATCGCATCTTCACAAAAAATACTATATAACACTATCATTACTGAAAAAGACAGTCTGTATAGTAAATACATAGTTGAATCTGCAAACTAAGTTCGTCACATAATAACCCAATATAATAACAAAGGGTGTCTGCCACCTTTTATTATAACGAATCTTGGCCAAAGGTAACCTTGTTATACATTTACACTGCATAGCAAGAAATATTACTTGGTATAACGAAAAGTTCCAAACCCCTTTGTCTTGTTATATTGAGGTTTCTTAGAAGTATGATATATTTTACCATAGTACAGCAAGACCTAGTAGTTAAGAATCTAGACATACACGAATGTTTTGCCACAGAGTCGGCAAGCCTTGAAAAGAGAGAGTAGAATAAAACTATTAAACGTTATTAAAATATGTATTTTTTACAATATATTTCTATTTGTCTAGATTTTACCGACTTTAGTAGTTGCAAGTATCATCACAACGTGCTATGGGGACGTACAAATAGCCAGCAAGCAACCATTGGGCACTTTGTACAGATGGAAGCAAATAGACTTCGAGTTTCCGAATGAGAACCTGCGCCAGGAAGCCATTTACAACAGGTACAATTATTATTAACTGTCTTATTATTACATAAAAGATGGTTTGAATTAGCATAGGATCTATGAGAAGTAAGAGACATATTAAAATTAATATCATTGTAAACTATTTAGGCAATTCATTCCATCTAACGTAATACCACTTGGAATCGAGCGATGGAAAGACAGGCTGTTCATCAGTACACCCCGATGGAAAAAAGGAGTACCAGCTACACTATCGACGGTTCCGATTGTATCATCAACAGCGTCACCAACCTTAGAACCGTACCCTAGTTGGGACTGGCAAAATGCGGGTATGTACTTCTATAAGAAATATATAGGTATATATTACTATGAAATGTATATAAAGTTATGTACATATTTATTTCAATTCCCATTTTTACTAGTCAAAATAATGTATATGGCAAAACAACGTTTGCCGGGTCAGCTAGTTTGATATAAAATCAATCAAATACACTGACGTAATTGCACATAAAGTCAATTACGTATTGCTTGCACTCGCGCCCGCCACTCACTGAGCAGTCAGAACGCGTCAGTTACTGTAACACCTCGGTTATGAACATTTGACTCATCAATCCCAATTACATTACTTGGCAATCCATATGTTTCTCTGACTGAAAAGAAGGCTATTATCATACTACATTATTTGCAAAAAGTAGTAATTAATACTTTGTGGATACCATGCACATCTTCATCTTTAATAGAAAATGAATACCAGCTTACTACACGGCAAGCCGACGATTTAAGGAAAGCAACTATGTGCCGTTGGGTGAAAAATCAGTCCTGTCAAGTCAACTATTTCAAGGAATATAAGAAATAGGTTAAAGATACCAGTGACTGATAAAAGGCTGACACGGTGTGTTAATGTCAGCTGTTCCCGGATCCCTCCTATTTCAGGCGCGGAGTGGCACACCGTATGGTTTTAGTCGGTTCGATTCCCACACACCGCCCCGCCGCAAAGCCCGGTGGGGTTACCACACGTTAAAAAAAAGGAAATATTAAATCGTATGATCTATACTTGTTGTACCAAGTACAACTAGCTCGTAGCTACTACGGAGAACATGTAAAAAGTTACGGCTCATGTGATCGAAGTATGCAGCGAACTCAATATAAAAGATTTTTGGACGGAAACCTTACAATGGAAGTTAAACTGACTGGCAATTTTGGAGCATGTATTATTGAGAAATGCACCTTACTCTGCTATCCTACAGGGGTTGGGGATTGATTCCCTCAAAAGAATATTCACATTCGTTTGTCAGAGAAAATACAAAACAAATATAGTACATATACATATATTTTTTTGGTCTTCTACTGTGTGCTCGTTTTGTTACGTATTACTTTGCAGGACATAATACGAGTATTTGACCTTCTTTTTAAATAGAGGCATTGATTGAATTTCCTTTATATCGTTCGGTAGTTTGTTGTAAAGATTCCTGTTGTAAAGTTGTAAACCTTCGTATTTAATATTTCTTAAGCCATATTTGGTTCGCGGCATAGGGAGACATATATTATTGGCGTTTCACCACATACGTTGCTGTACTTGTGACTTTTTGGTAAATGTTATTTGAGTATGAATAGTTTTCTCATTATTTTTCTTATAAGAATGCATGTGTTATATTTGTATAGTTGATTAATTGTCATTAAACATCGCGCTGTGCCCCTGAGTATGCCAAATAAACTGGATAGCTTAGTTTGTATTAAATTTATATGTTTTCCAAGTGAGGTGACTGTCAAGTATGAGGCCCAGATATTTTTCAGAATTTACTTTTGTTAGGGCTTCACCATTTATGTTTACTGGTTGGAATTGTGATATAATAATATATTAATTCTTAGATACAATTATTCGACATGACATTGAAAATGAAATAGAAGAAGAGAGTTGAAAATGTGTTTTTTCACTTTTCATGTAATAAAGTTCAATGAAGGTTAATTATTTGTTTTTATCGTTTCACAAGACCACATACGTCACAATGACATAAAACAGTAGGGCCAACCTCTAACATCAACTATCTAAAATCATAAATAGGATTTATTTACACAGAACAAAATTGAAATACTTATATAGACGACATATTAAAAATCTTTAAATGCAAATAGATCAGCGCAGCAGATATCACTTAGAATAAAAATAATTAAACATAAATGTGTACTTAACCCAGCACAATAAAGTAATATAAAAATTATTGGTGGCTGCTGAAAAGAAAAATGACGCCCCTAGTCCATACAAAGTTAGTCAAACCTCTTTTTATAAAATATATAAAATGTTAAATTTGTCTTGTATAAAATATTAAGTTATATTTCTTAACTCAGAATATTATTTTATCTTTCCGCAGATAACTGCACAGGTTTTACCTCTCTGTTCCGCATGAACATAGATCACTGCGGCGTCATGTGGGCTCTCGACTCCGGGCAACTGGAACCCTTCGGAGACACCAGTAATCCCTGTCCGCCAACACTGTTCGCCATTAATGTTAACACCGACACTGTCATCGGCCGTTACCCAATCCCAAGCGAGTTTGTCTTACAAGATTCGTTGATTACTAACCTTGTTGTAGACTCGAGAGATGTGCTGTGCCGAGATCTGCATGTGTACATGGCAGACGCATGGCGATTCGGTTTAATCGTCTTCCGAGACGAAGACAAGGCTTTTTGGCGATTCAATCATTATACTTTTTACCCCCATCCTTTACTTTCTAACTACACTTTACACGGCTTAAACTTTCAATGGACTGACGGACTCTTTGGCATGTCGTTAGGTAATGTACATCAAGGCGATCGTTTACTATATTACCATGCTATGTCAAATGACCTAGAGTTTGTAGTAAAAACATCTGTAATACGAGACCCGTCACGCGTTAACAATGCCGTAAGTGAGTTTGAACTGCTTGGCCAATGTCGCGGCGCCGACGGACAGGTATCAGCCGCAGCTGTCGACCGCAACGGTGTTATGTTCTTCAACCTCGTTTCTAGAGACAGTATCGGATGTTGGGATACACACAAACCGTACTTAATCCGTAACTTGATGATTGTAGCACAAAATAATAGAACTTTGGTTCTCCCTAACGATTTACGAATTGACCACGAAGTCCCTCAAATGGTGTGGATAATAACAAATAAACTGCCTATGTTTTTGGCCGATGTAATAGATCCAAATGAATTTAATTATCGTGTCATATATTTAGATCCAGTCGCAGCAGTTGAAAACAGTATCTGTCAGCCGTGACTCTTTAAATGAGGAATAAATATATGCAAACATGCCTCTGCTAACTTAGATATAAATGTTTAGGTATTTCATAATTAAGTATTTATGACCACTAAAAGAAAAAAATTAAGAATTTTGGGAGCGTCGTTATTACTATGAGAGTAATATTATAATAATAGTAGTAATAATAAACTGATATAAAAAACATATGATTATTTTATTTTCCTCACTTTTTTTCTAATCTTTTTTAACTTTATTTATAGCCGATGCGGCGTTCTTCGTATGACTTGTGTTGCGTTGATTATTTTGAACGTTCAAAGTACCTGCTGAGTTGTTTTCCGCAGCCTCACTATTTTGAACTTCTAATATGTCAGTTACCTGTTCGTCTTTACTTTTTGTAGATTGTGATGATGATGTATCAGTTTCTTCATTCTTGTTTTGTTCTATAAGGGAGTTTTCACAAGATAATCGTTTCTTTAATTCTTCCCGTTTAGGCAAAAGTGTTTCATCAGAAGGGATAGCAAAGGCTATTAAACTTTGTACTATCTCTTCGGACTTCGCCTTGGATCTATCAGAAATTGTTCTGATACAATTATTTATTATTTCTCCAACAAATTTATTCAGGTTTTCGTTGTGATTTTGTTCATTTTGCGGATTTGGCACTTGTAGTCCAATACTTATACTACTCCTGGATGATTTTTTATTTTGGAGGCTCAGGGTTCGTACACTTACATTTTTTTCAATTTCTAGTGGTGGGATTTCATATGATTCGGTTCGTAGACGATTTTTAACAACACTCTCTGTATTTTGTACTTGAATTACTGTAACATCAGGCTGAGGAGCTTCAGAACTTAATCTTTTCATAAATATTTGTGGATATTCACGAAGATAAGAAGCTGTATGTCCTTTACTGTTAGCTACATGAGGAGGCGTATCAGAACCATCTGAAGACACTGCCTCAATATTTTCACACGGAGCCCACAACGTAGATATGTTTGGATTGAACATGTGAGATTTAATAGATTCTGCTCCATCTTTGTTTAAATAAATGCCTATTCTCAACAGCATTGTAATTAATTGTTCTAAAATACGATCACCGCGAGGTACTACAACTTCACTACCAAACCAATCGTCATAAGTACCGACATCAATATTTCTAGTAGATGCAACACACAATGGTTGTAAAATCCCATCTACTTGACCGTCATCTATACTTGAGTCTGAACATTTTGTGTTTACTGGTAATGCCATGGTATTCAATTTTGAACGCTGTGAAATAGTATTAGTACAGGGTTGTGACGTTTCTGCATAGCTGAAAAAATATTGAGAGAGATTTTAGAACATTCGAAATTTGAAAAAATACATATTTTCTTTAGTTCTGTAACTGCACTTGTTTGTTTACTCGCTTAGTCGGCTCTTACGACACTCACGGGATGAATAGGGGTAGTGACACTCCGTATTCTTAATCCGTCAGTCAGTGGATGATTATTAGATACGCTTTATTCATATTGTCTGATGCAAAGTTTAACAACTACGGCGGCCGTAACGTAGATCATAGTTATTATTTAGCTCTTAGTGATAGTCAATATATATTTATGTTTCAAATAGGAAATAGACAGACTAATTAAATAGAAAAAATGTATCATTCTATACGTTTGTAAAAAAAAATATAATTGATATAATTATGTACATATACTAAGAATACTAACAAGCCTGCTACGAGTTTTTTTCGAAGATGTTCTTCTGTAAATAAAGATTTAGTGCGTCGTCTTCTAACAGCCAATTCGAGCCCCTCATCTGGCTCATCCGGTGGAAGTAAGACGGGAAAGGTTTTGAATGCTGATGCTACTTTCAAGACATGGTAGTAGCTGTAATTAAATGGAAAATCCTTACCTTCTTCGTCGCTTGAAAAACTCATTATGCTTTTTATTTGTTAGTGCAAAAAGATGTTCTTGATAGATTCCATATACAGTGCAACAGTGAAGAAGTTGCATCCATTTTAGTTGAATGTATAAAATGCTAGCCATAAGATACTTCAAAGTTTATTTTGAACTAAATAACATTGCCGGACCACATCAACCGTTACATTTTTTTAATAGGAAGTAATTCTAGACCTTAGAATTTCAGTTATTAAAATCTGAATACACTCATCCCTCGCATCAAAAACTACTTATCTTTCTCATTCAGTAACTTAAATAGAAAGTAAATGACTAAATAAATATAAACAGACCTGTAAACTAACATCCACATGTAGAACGCGGGCATTATTGATGAAATCTTGACAACTATGAACCTGATGCATGCTGGTTTGGCGGTCCCAAGCAGCACACACGTACCTAGTCCAACCGCTAAACTTGTCAATTCACACAGCAATTTCCTTATAGCAGCAAGCAGAAGCCAGGGCAAAACTAGAGCGGGACGTTCTTCCTGATAGTAAAAATATTTTAAAATGTTTAGAATTCCATTGCCGTCTATCTACCCGTGCTTTATATTAAGATACTATAATATCACATGAGTAAACACATTAATGACGTCGACAAAATAGTAAAATTCATTCTTAAATAGGTACAAGTAATGTGGCGTCATTGGCAAAGTCTTTTAAAAGCACTATAGATTTTCATAATTATATTTAAATTACTATATAATTATCATTTATAAATTCTATGACGGAGCTAAATTTATTCGTCGCTGTACTCATTACAAATAGCTGTCTCTTTCATTCTTATGCTTTCCCTATTTCCTATCGCACTTGTAGCGTAAGTTTTGTTCTAAAATAAATTTATAGATAAATAGGTGTATGTATAGTCTTACGGAACAAATATTTTGAGCTTGCAGTATGAATATAACGTATCTTCCTTAAAATATCATTGCTTACCACCGTGACTACCTGCTGCCACTAATACAGGGACGTCGACTGGCGTTAAAAGTTGATTTTAGTCAACCTTGGATTTTGGTAGTTATCCGACTGCGCAAGAAGGAGGGTTATGTTTCGAGTGTATGTATGTATGTCTGTATATTCCTTTGGTACGCTCTATAGCCTCAACGGCTTGCTAGATTTTAGCATTTGAGATGTCTTTAGATTCATCTTAATTGCAAGTGGCTGAGTTTATTATAATAATAAAAATTAAAATCGCCGGTTTGTTTAAGTTTAAGAGTCGGGTTAGTTTGTTTTTCATAATGTTTTATTTACTGTTTATGATGAAGGCAGATTCTTTAGTGCAATTTTTTGCAGTATAATATGCCCTTGAAGTATTATGACAACACATTTACTACACGTATTTTTATTGATATAATAACATTATAATTTAGAACTGAGTCAACTTGAGTTACTAAAGGTAACTTACATTTTTCCTAACGTCCATTCACGTTTTTGTAAACAGCTAAACACATTAATATTTTATGAGTCATCATTTCCCACAATTTGCTTACTAAAGGTAATGTCTCAGGGAAATTACTTGACAGAGCTATTATTAATTAAATTACCTAAGAGCTGATCAGATTTGTTAGAAAATCGTAAGAATTCAATTACATGAAATTTTATAATAACCGAATAATGGAATGACTATGGTTGCTATAGTTATTTCCCATAAGTTAACTGCTAGTTAAATTTGACATAAATACAGTGAAGCAGCTGTAAGGCGTTGAATGCTTTACAAGTACGGACAATATTATATTTACTTTAATTTTATTATTTGAAGGAATAATTGTAAAAAAAAACTATTCAGATCAGAGCGGCGTGTGAAAATATTATTATTATTTATTATTATTATTTTTGTTGGCAAGTTTATAATGATTTCTAGAAATTAGTTATGAACATGATGATGCCAATAACATGTTTTTTGTTATTAATACTTCACGTTTGTGGTATACCTGGAGGGGTAGACACGAGGTGTATGCTTTTTCTTTTTTATAAAATTCGTGAATTGTTGTTGACTATTCTAAAAACAGCTTTAGTTACACTGCATAATACGTATTATTCTTTAGTTTTTACAATTTACCAGGAAAACAGGATACAGCAGGACAATGTACGAGGCGAGGTAAACGTACACGGTGAAGCACTGAACCAACATGATGCCAGATATCATAGTTCGTAGTACATGCTGAACTGGCATCGACAATTCCGCAGGCATACTCATTTGCCATACCTGCAAGAAACACACAGATTACTTCATACATGATTAAAAACTATTACGTTATGAAATAACCGGAGTGGTGAAAGTCTCAGTCACGCACCGAAAATGCCATACAACTTGTATATAGATAATTCTTCCATTTTCCCTAGAAAATGTAAGAATTATGGCGTAAAAATCAAAACATCTGTATTCTATATAAAACACTATATTCAATGGCGTAAAAATCAAAAGATCTGTATGCTATATAAAACACCATATTCAATATATAGAAAATAATTGGAAAACAAGTAGGTGTAAAACTTATGCTTGAAAATGGAATGCAGGTAAAGAAGGTAATGTATCCGTAGCATACTTTTTTGAGCGAACTCATGTGTACACTGCGAAAGAACAGAAACAGGGCGGGTGCACGGCAAATACAAGGCCGGAATATTAAAACCGTCTAGAATTCCGTCTAATTTACGCTACACCACGCTCAAATATATATCAATGATATGCTTCAATCCTGCCCGATGCAACCTGCACAATTATTGATTTAAATTCTAAATTCGTGATATAAGGAAAAAATAAGAACTTCGTTGAACTGACGAGCAAAGAGATTTGAGCCATTATATCGATGTAAAGATTGCTCAAATAGTCGAACAGCTCATTCAAATAATGCTACAATATTTTTAAACTGATTGATTTATCATATATCAGTAGGTTTTATTTGTTTATTTTAAAAAATACCTCTTTCAGATTTAAAATATATGTAGGAATAAAAAGATATAAAACCAGACTAAAACACAGACTAAAACGGTAATTTAATACGATACAATAATTATCCTAGTTGGGGATCGAACCCGACGCAGTGACACCAACACATTGGTTGCTTTTGAATAAACCATGAAAATATACCACCGTTTTAGATCAGCATCAACTCTGCCATTATAATCGATTTGTTGCATCGAACTCGCTCATACCGTGCTGGTGAGTGATTCGATTCGACTGTCAGCGTGGACGTAGTCATCGTTGCTGTACCTCAGGTGTACCTAATGTATACTTGTTTACTATTTTACTACAATATAGAAATAGTTGAACGCATTGCCTAGACTACGACACCTCAGAAAACTGTTTATTCCAAAATAGAACACTTTTTATTTTTGTGGCATCTAATGTAAGTTACATAAGATTTGAAATAAGATCAAATTTAACGTTAAAATCAGCCACTTAATTCTTAAAAACTCAATTTTTTTATTAATATTCTGGAAGATGATCTGAAACGGGTCTATAACCAGGGTCATTACAGAAGAGTTACTGCAGTACAATTAAAAGATTTACTGAACAATAAATCAGAATAAGATGTAAATGCAGGAAAAGGCTCTTGCAATAAAATATCACAGACACTCAACAACTACTATTATTTACCTAAGCTAACCTGCACTAACTACTAAATACTGTTGTTTCACTCCATAATAATTGATTTTTTTTATTGTATAGGGGGCACACTAGACCTAAGCTAACCTGCACTAACTACTAAATACTGTTGTTTCACTCCAAAATAATTGTTTTTTTTTATTGTATAGGGGGCACACTAGACCTTTTTTTTTTTTTTTTTTTTTTTTTTTTTTTTTTTTTTTTTTTTTTTTTTTTTTTTTTTTTACGTGTGGAAATCCCCTCGGACCGTCACCCCTCCGGGGTTTGCGGCGGGGTGGTGTGTCGGACTCGGACCGACTAAAACCACACGGTGTGCCACTCTGCGCCTGTAACAGGAGGGATCCGGGAACAGCTGCTGTTAAGACATCCGGACCCCTCCTAGCGCCAGCCCGCTCCTGGTGCGGGCTCCGTCTCAATGTGGATGTTCCTCTCTTTAGGCGACGTCCGGCACACGCGGACGCCGCCCCCTCGCGGCTGGCCAACTAATGCGGGTGGAGGGGAAACCCACCCCGTCCACCCGCGGCCACACTCAGGGCGGCATGAGGCTGTGGTAGGCGGGCCTCCGCCGCCCGGTTCGCCGGCGGCGGATCGGGTCCGAGTGGAGGTCGTCCTCCCGGGCCCTCTCCGCCGCCTCCTTCCGCGAGATTACTACCTCGCAGAAGGTTGCGACCGCGGTAAAACAACTGTCGCTACCGGCCATGGAGCGTGGGCACACTAGACCTAAGCTAACCTGCACTAACTACTAAATACTGTTGTTTCACTCCAAAATAATTGATTTTTTTATTGTATAGGGGGCACACTAGACCTAAGCTAACCTGCACTAACTACTAAATACTGTTGTTTCACTCCAAAATAATTGATTTTTTTTATTGTATAGGGGGCACACTAGACCTAAGCTAACCTGCACTAACTACTAAATACTGTTGTTTCACTCCAAAATAATTGATTTTTTTATTGTATAGGGGGCACACTAGACCTAAGCTAACCTGCACTAACTACTAAATACTGTTGTTTCACTCCAAAATAATTGATTTTTTTTATTGTATAGGGGGCACACTAGACCTAAGCTAACCTGCACTAACTACTAAATACTGTTGTTTCACTCCAAAATAATTGATTTTTTTTATTGTATAGGGGGCACACTAGACCTAAGCTAACCTGCACTAACTACTAAATACTGTTGTTTCACTCCAAAATAATTGATTTTTTTATTGTATAGGGGGCACACTAGACCTAAGCTAACCTGCACTAACTACTAAATACTGTTGTTTCACTCCAAAATAATTGATTTTTTTATTGTATAGGGGGCACACTAGACCTAAGCTAACCTGCACTAACTACTAAATACTGTTGTTTCACTCCAAAATAATTGATTTTTTTATTGTATAGGGGGCACACTAGACCTAAGCTAACCTGCACTAACTACTAAATACTGTTGTTTCACTCCAAAATAATTGATTTTTTTTATTGTATAGGGGGCACACTAGACCTAAGCTAACCTGCACTAACTACTAAATACTGTTGTTTCACTCCAAAATAATTGATTTTTTTATTGTATAGGGGGCACACTAGACCTAAGCTAACCTGCACTAACTACTAAATACTGTTGTTTCACTCCAAAATAATTGATTTTTTTTATTGTATAGGGGGCACACTAGACCTAAGCTAACCTGCACTAACTACTAAATACTGTTGTTTCACTCCAAAATAATTGATTTTTTTATTGTATAGGGGGCACACTAGACCTAAGCTAACCTGCACTAACTACTAAATACTGTTGTTTCACTCCAAAATAATTGATTTTTTTTATTGTATAGGGGGCACACTAGACCTAAGCTAACCTGCACTAACTACTAAATACTGTTGTTTCACTCCAAAATAATTGATTTTTTTTATTGTATAGGGGGCACACTAGACCTAAGCTAACCTGCACTAACTACTAAATACTGTTGTTTCACTCCAAAATAATTGATTTTTTTTATTGTATAGGGGGCACACTAGACCTAAGCTAACCTGCACTAACTACTAAATACTGTTGTTTCACTCCAAAATAATTGATTTTTTTTATTGTATAGGGGGCACACTAGACCTAAGCTAACCTGCACTAACTACTAAATACTGTTGTTTCACTCCAAAATAATTGATTTTTTTTATTGTATAGGGGGCACACTAGACCTAAGCTAACCTGCACTAACTACTAAATACTGTTGTTTCACTCCAAAATAATTGATTTTTTTATTGTATAGGGGGCACACTAGACCTAAGCTAACCTGCACTAACTACTAAATACTGTTGTTTCACTCCAAAATAATTGATTTTTTTATTGTATAGGGGGCACACTAGACCTAAGCTAACCTGCACTAACTACTAAATACTGTTGTTTCACTCCAAAATAATTGATTTTTTTTATTGTATAGGGGGCACACTAGACCTAAGCTAACCTGCACTAACTACTAAATACTGTTGTTTCACTCCAAAATAATTGATTTTTTTATTGTATAGCGGGCACACTAGACACGTCACTTGATGGTGAACGACCGTCGCCCGATGATCCCTACAACTCAAGAGCCACAAGAGCATAGTAACTCTCTGAGTTCTCCCCTCCGCCACAGAAATAATGGGACAGGGAGTTTTATGCTCCGGTAGTCTCTTTAACATAAGAAATTCTTAACACAAGCCGTGGGTATCACCGGCGCTGTGCCGAAGCATGGCTCTCCCACGTCATGTTAAGTAATTGAGAAATTAAACAATGAAACCTTATCAAAAATAAAAAAAATCGTTTAAATTGTGTGTGTGGAGTCTGCGAGTTTAGGATTCATATAAATTTTTGATTACACTTTTATGATTTTTATCATTTTCTATAGTCCACTCATTTTAGTTAAAGAAATGTATATTGAAAATATTTTTAATTTGTCGTACCTCCATTGTAACTTTTCTGATACAACTACAAAGGTGGCGACACAAAGTGATATTGTTTTCGCAAATAATGTTTTAGTGTGAGGCACTGAGCAGCATTCTCCTTTTGAGATAGGTTGGTTAGGAACAAATTCTTTTGTGGTATCTTTATAGCATGCCATACACAAAATATCTATGTATAGCTGTTCTAACCTGGGTTACTGATAGGGTAAGTATCTAATCATACGAGTTTAATTCTCCTTCCTTCGTTGCATGAGCATATTTGTATAAGTAGTCTAACAACACAGAAATGTTTTTCGGATTTCGTAAGAATCAGATCAGATCAAGATGCAGTCGATTCTGTAAAAAATCTCGTATCATAACTCATGTCCACTCATGGACCATACATGTTTATACATGTATATATTTACAACTTAATTATTATCTGGTGTAAATATCTATATTTAATGCGGGGCACGGTAGTGCCCAGGTCAAGTAAAGTGAAACAAAGACGCCGCTACTAATAAGTATCACCTGTTTTTAAAACAATTCAGAACGTATTTTTAATGACTTTACTGGCAACCGAGCAGACGGGTCACCTGATGGTAAGTAATTACCCATAGACACCTACAGCTCAAGAGACAAGTGCATTACCGGTCTGTAAATATCCCTCCCATTTGAGGACTGGTTGGGACTTCGGTTACCTCACTTACTTGGTGAAAAGTAATAAAAGAACACCGGTTATTTTCATTAATTCCCACGACAAAAACGTTTTCATTACCTGTAACTTCTACCTGAATAAAGCTAGTCGCTTAAATTGTCAGCTAATCAGATTTTACCATACCCAGTGATTTATAAACCTGTAGTTAAAAAAATAATACAAATCGATGTTGGCTAATTTTGTACATTCACTGATTATCAAAATTCTTAAGCAATTCTTGTAGACAGCAAATTTTAAATACAGCCAACAAATCAAAGAAAAACTAAGTCACAAATTTTAATACCTCCAAAATGATCCTTCCAAAAACATAACATTTAAAAAGATTACGAGATTTAATTAATACCCAATTTATTTAACTAACAACATCTTTATTTCTGTAATAACCAGAATGACGTGCCAAACGATTTAATAATTTATACGGTAACTATAAAATGTTGTTAGTGAAACAATCCGGTAAATATTACATCTCCCACTTTCAGCTGCAGAAAAACTTCATTTCGAGACATTCATTTCATTTTTACATGTTATACTTTTATTAGGATCAATCTTTCATCAAGTATGTGGGCACCTGTTTTAAATTTGCGTTCACTTTGAAGAGCGTAGCGTCGAAGATAGTCCGCACCAGGCCCAGTAGTGTCCACAAACACAACTCTGCCTGTAGATTCATGCCCACGTATGACAGAATGTTTATCATTTTTATTGATTAAGGTTCTGGGCTTAGGTTATTTACATTCTGGTTTCATTTTTATGGTATGAGGTTTATTATTGACTGCTTTTATTGCATTACTCTAACTTTGTTGTATATAATTTTCATTAGACATGGTTATGTCAATTGAAATATACTTTTTAATGTTGTCAATTGTAACATATTTCAAGAAAATGTTGTGATTTTTATATATTCTTATTTTTAAACAACCTCCTTCGATGTTACAATAGAAATTACAGAACAATGAAACAGATCTGACTTTGATAACGAGATAACGGGATTTAAAACTTTGACTAAATTTTATTCTATTAATATTATTCTAAATTTGATTGAGAACTTGTATTCAGAACGGTGATCTAAAATTATTAAAAAATAATTGCGAAAAGTGGATGCGATGGAAAGAACAAAGCTCATCAAGAAATTTAAATCAGAAAAAAGCCAGGGCTAGATATAATTTATAGAAGGAGGTTTCAAAAATTAGAATTTCCATCTTGATCACTATTCGACTTTAGTCAACAAAGTCAATAGAAACGTGACCGACACCAAAAATTAGAGAGTAGCATAAACTTTATATTTGAACAGATCATGACAAGTGGCTCTTTATTACATCTATAGCGTACAGACATAGACACATACATTTTATACATGTTATACATAATAAATGATCGTGCTCATCTTACAATAACCGTCCTGTGTGGGAATCAAACCCACTACCTCTGGCTTGGTAATCAGGGTCACTAACCACTAGACCAACAGGCCCATCCAATCATTAGTGGACCTACAACAACAATCTAGAAACGATGTTGGTCATAAAGCAGTTGTCGTTAGTCGTAAAGTTTGCAGAAAGCATATTACAAGTAAGAAGAATGCACAGAGTAAGAAGTAAATATACACCAATAAAAGCAAAACTTTTTGAAGTAGTTTTACTGCAGTCTGCGATTCCAACGTAGAAGGAGTACATGACTATCTAGTCATGGTCAGTCCTTCTACGAATCGTATTCGCCAGAGATTCTATCTCTAGCTCGTGAATCTGCCCATGATGCTAAATGGGGATTTACTCAAGCGTAATGGGACCTATTGCATTAAAATTTGAAAGATTAGGTAACAGAATGAATAAAAGTTGTATAATTTTTCCACTTTCAGCTGTGGGAAAAGCTTCTAAACCACATAAATATGTGTATAAACAAAAACAGTATATTTTTAGTTCTATATATGGTGGGTTTTATTATACATATAATATTGAACAGTCTCGAAGTCTAGATTAATAGTCTAGAGTCTAAATTCTACATTTAAAAACTTAACACCACAGTAATATTCATTCATCTTCCCAAGAAATTTCAGAATGTTGAGTGCATCATGATCAACAATACACACGCTCACGTCAGAATCCAGAACGGCCATGCGGCTAAGTACAATCGCGATTGAGTTTGAGTTTTATGCTTCAGACGCAACGCAGACGTTTTGAGGCGGTCGAACGATCACGACGCTCGTATCGTATTTACGTGCCTACAGACGACGGTACGTTACGTGAACTGTCCGGTAACCTTAGTTGTTAGCAGTGCTAAACAGTGATAACCAGTTATTTATTATATTTCTGTGACCTTCTGTACAAGGTAATTATATTTTTTTAATTTGCGTTCTTATTTAAAATGACAAATATAATATGTTGATTTTATTTCATTACATATAGTTCATTGGTGAAGGCCTTGATTTTGTTTTAGAATATATTTAGGTTACGCTACGTCCGTACCTTGAACAGTATGAGTTGGAAGTTATTTTTAAAAAATCAGTTTCTACGTAACACCCACAATGTTTATAGTATCGTAAGATGTCGTCATTTATCTCAATGTATGCGCAAACAAAAATGTTAAACAACACACATGTCGAGGTAGATATGCATATTAACACTAGTTATAAAAATATGTTTTTAAGACTCTGACATTATAACTGTGTCTGCGGCTGTAAATGTTTACAATACATTTTCATGAAAGGCATTTACTTCATTTACTTTGAATTTTGACGTCATTCCTACTAAAACCACTAAAATGTCATAGTGGCAAGGGAAACAAAATGTCACATAGGTAATCGTGGATACTCGACAACGTTTTTCGCATAAACTAAAACTGTTTACTTATCAGTCTTCTTATCACACAATGGAAATTCCTTTGCAATTTTCATGACTTTCATGATAAAATAATTATTTGAAAGCATTGTATTTAATAATTAAATAATTGTTTGCAATATTTTTAAATGAACATTGCTTTTAGTCATCTCACTCAATGTGTGCTTATATAATACATTATTTTAAAATATAGTCTTCAATATACCTACACTAAATAGAATAAAAGACCTCCTAGTATTTACCTACTCGTTGAAGGAATTACAGAATGACAAACCAAACTACATTAGTCATAATTTTAAATGATATCTATTTGCTAAATTAAAAAATACGTTAACAATATTTGTCACAATTGGTTAACGACTTCTTTACAAAAAAGAGACTATTTAAACCACTATGCCATCCGTGCAGTCATCTTTAATCAATGAAATCCTAAAACCAGTTTGAACATACATAAATATAACATCGGTAGCTTTAACTTGTGTCTGTCAATAAGTAGCAACTCCACACATGTATAAATTCATACATATATATATTGTTACGTTTATCGACAGTGAAGGTCAGGTAGCTCCAGGGACTAAATAATTTGGCGTAAAGGGAGACCAACCGGGAATCGTCAACAGTGCCTAAATAACTTTTAAAAATACTGCAAACTGCCTGCCATTCTGATGAATTGAAAGAAACTATTCTTCATTCCTTGAATAGAACAAAAAAAAAGTTTTATTAGATATGTAGCAGAAAAATATTTAACCATGCGGTTTCACCACATCTCGGAATTAGAGGAAACTGCAAGAACCTCTTAAAGTGAAAGACATTATTATAAAAAAAAATACTCAGCATTTAGGACATTAAACAGTAAAATTTCGAAGAAATAATAAAAAAAAATTTGACTGTCTTTTAGGGCCTAAATTTGGATAACTTGACAACCCCAAAATTAATTCACACACACAGAGCTGCCGCCGTTACGGTGCCTCAGTTTTGTGTTAGCGAGAGTTCCATCCGACTTTTTTATACGTCCATGGCTATAACGTAATTTATATTCAACGCCCACCTATTTCCATCATATTCAATTGCAAATAGATTAGATGATCATATCGATATGTATAAGTCAATTAAATCCGAATTGTACTAAACACATTTTATCAGTTCTAACTTATACGCTTCCCTTCCTATAAAGGTATCTACTTAAATGCAATAGGTCTCAATCCTAAGTACGACACAATTATCATTTTCAATTGAACTATACAATTTACTAATCTTTAAATAGTTTTATAAAAAAGTGTAATGAATGATAAAGATAATAACTCAAATAATAAACATAATAACTGAGAGTAACCGTAGCAGATATTTTGCTTACATTCATTTTGCTCCCATTCGCCATTTTATAATCATAACTTGTTCGAATATAAGTGTGATCTCACTGACGAATATAATGCAATTTATAACCACTTAGGAAGTCACACATACCACAAATTACTATTTATTCAAGGACCTATTTTTGCGCAAATAGACCTACTCTGAGTTTGCTGAATTGCGCTGAAAATTATTAGGTCACTTGTATAGAAAATGCTATTTATAAATATAATATTATATTTAGGTACAGCTATTTAAATCACTACTGTCATACTGTGGCATCTAAAAAGACCGACAGGTAAATAAAATACAGTATAGATACTAAATAGAATTCAAAACTTTACGTGGTTGAGAAATCTGCCTTAGAACTTCTCTTCCTGTCTCTACGAGTATTTAGTATTCATCTTTCTTTTTACACGTAACAAGTATCAGGATTCGATTATTTCTAAAGATCAATTAAGCTAGTCTCACAATACAATATTTATATTAGGTAATGGTTATGAACGGAAGTGAATGTTGTTCAAAAACTCTTAATTACATATGTCGTAATTAGGTTTCATTTACACTAATATTATTAACTAGGAATAATTATTGAAACTAAGTGCTCCTTTGCTTAAATTGAATACGTATCGGTAGGTACATATAAATTCATGTCTAAATGAATAACAACTCATAAAAATATTTGCTGGGTCATTCAAAGTATGAAGTCGTTAGACAACTAATAGCCAATCGCCATAGGGTAAATATATTTCCTAATCTTTATATATATAATTCTTCTGTGAGTGTGTATGTCACTGAACTTCTCTCAAACGACTGGACCGATTTTGATGAAATTTTTTGTGTGTGTTCAAGGGGATCTGGGAATGGTTTAGATTCACAATTTTGAATGGTAAGGGTGACCCATCCCTAATTTTTTTTTGATGCAATACAACGTTTGCCGGATCAGCTAGTTATAGTATAAATTATAATACGCGTGGAAATTACTATTATTATTAGATTATCGTGATTATAAAACTATAGAGTTTTATTGTTTGATTGCGTAATTGTTCTAAGCTTAGAACCTATTAGATCGATTAAAAAAACCTTATGTTACGTATTCCAATCATTGAATTACGTTAGTGTTAACAAATCTTGTAAATTAAAGGCTTCAGTAGAAAAAAGGACAGGACACTTCTAGTTTGGGTATTCATCTATAACAATGTACATGTCCTAAATAAAAATTTGGCTTTCTGCCAAAATATCGTTTAATATGCCATTTTTGAGATAAAACAGGTACACTTTAATGATCACAAAGTACCTAGTACCAGTAGCGTTATATTATTACATTATTATATGCACAGATGGTACAAACCGGTACAAATTAAGTAACTTTACTAACGTGACCTTATGATTTTTGTAGATGAAACTTAGCGCCATGTTATGCCTATAATCTTTATTAAAAGTAGTGGTAACAAGGTATTCTAATAAATGACATCTTACGTGTTCTATA